TCCTTCCTTCCTTCCTTCCTTCCTTCCTTCCTTCCTTCCTTCCTTGTATTTGGGAGAGATGGGTATCATTAACTCCATTTTACAGATGAAGGAACTAAGTCTCAGAAAGTTTCAATGATTTGGCAAAAAGATTTTTAAAAAATGTATCTTTATAGAGTCACATAGCATGGGCTAACCTTCCAAAAGATGAAAATGAGATTTGAATATTCTGTTGTTGACTCCCAAAGTCAAAGGTAGGGAATGGTGGAATGGTTGAACCTCAAACCAGAGGTAGATAAAACAGAAAATCCTAGGAAGGGACAGGGCAGGTTGGACCTGGGGTTTTGGAGAGCACACTTCTTGTCCCAGTTACATAATAGCTGCAGAAACATACTTAAGGCCAAGAAGCTTCATGCATTGTCTCGTTTAATTCTTAACATCAGGGCTGGGGGTGCAGCTCAGTGGGAGAGTGCTTGCTTTTCATGTTCAAAGCCCTGGCTTCAATCCCATGCACACCTTCTTCTTCTTTCCAAAAGCCAATTCTTACAACAGTCCTGAGAACTTACTACTATTCCCATTATACAGTTAGGGAAACAGAGGCCCCAGAAGAAATTATTCACTTGGTAAAGTTTAAACTCAGACGTGCCTGACTCCAAGTCCTGTGCTCATAATTGGCAAATTATTTGGTTGTAAACATGATCTGTGTTTTCCTAAAAAGTTAAGACACCTTTCTATATTCTTTCTCAAACTTGCATTTCTCCCTTAGCCCTTGCTCCCAGTCCCCGGTGGTTTACGGGGTTGATTTTTGTCAAGCTACAGCTTGGTTTCCGAGCTCTCGATGAAAGAACCACAGGGTGGCAGTATGACCTTGCGCAGTTCAAACACAGGGAAAAAGAAGGCATTCACCAGGCCAGACTGAGATCTGACTGCAAGGGTGGCAGCCAGCGGGCCTTAGCAGCTCATCCTTCCCAGGTGTAACTGCACAGAATTCATTCCCCGCAACTCACCTGAGGGCAAAGGACCGCAGAGACCTCAGTTGAATGACTGTGATGCTCCTTTACCGCAGGAGGGCTCTCCTCCAAGATCCCAGGTAAACCAGGAGGCGTGAGGCTATACATGTGAAAATATTTTGTACCCTGACTCCTTCCTCCCTATTTATGTTTTAGGCTTTATGAAACCTGTGGGTGAAGAGCACAGAAGTAGTGGAAAGAACAAGTAGAGAAAGGGGAAAGAAGTAGGTGGAACTTTGGGATTTGGTGGCTATGGCTCCGTGGTAGAGCCCTCACCTAGCATGTGTGAGGCCGTGGGTTCAATCCCAAGCACTGCATCAGACCAATAAATAGAATTTAAAAAGAGAGAGAGAGGGGGGGGGGGCTTTCGAGTCACACAGCATGAGCTCAGCTAACTACTTGTGCCATTAGTTGCCACACCAATGTCCCTGGATTATTTCCTTAGGCGTGAAATGGGTAAGACAGGGTCTGCCTTGCTGGTGGTTGGGAATATTAAATAAGGCAAAGACAGGGTGTATCTTTATGTCCTTCATCATGGAAATGATCTGTTTCTCAGGTGTTTGCTTCCTTTGCCTGGAGAGGTGTGGCGATGGTGAGAAATGTTTGACCGAGATTCCTATCAAAGGAGAGAGCAGGACAGCACACACTGGGGTGGAGACCAAGACATATGGACCAGGAGAATTCTTGTTGATTTAATAACATCAAAATGTTTATGGGGCTGACAGAATAAAGGGAGTTTTGTCTGTAGCTCTCTGTGTCATTTTGTAGTTTGTTATGCTATGATGGTGACAAGATAATCGTGATTTTCCAGAGGAGTGGCAAGAAGTACACAAATAGGCTTGATTTTTAAAGGTTCTTAAAGACCAGGATCTCTCCCAGGTCATGTCTTACTTGC